CTGATGCTGCTTGGCCTGCTGTGTTCATCCAGCTCCACACCTTGTTATCAATGAATTCATGGTCACCATTAGATTCTTAATTCCAGGTATTTATTGAATTCAAATTCCACCATCTGCCATGGCGGGATTTGAACCCAGGTCCCCAGAACATTACCTGGGTATCTGGTTTAACAGTTTAGCAATAATACCACTAGGACATGCTATATGTTGTTTGACATTTATCTTACATATAGCATTGGCACTGAAATTCATACCTGACTTTGCTAAATTGTGTGGTTGTCAGAATACCTTTGTTCCTGATTCCCTTTTGATCCTATCAGTTCAATTCTGGTCTCCCTGCTGTAGGAAAGATGTTGTGAAACTTGAAAGGGTTCAGAAAAGATTTACAAGGATGTTGCAAGGGTTTGTGCTACAGGGAGATGCTGAATAGGCTGGAGCTATTTTCCTTGGAGTGTCGGAAGCTGAGGGGTGACCTTATAGAAGTTTATAAAATCATGAGGGACATGAATAGGATGAATAGCCAAGGTCTTTTCTCCAGGATGGGGAGTCCGAAACTAGAGGGGCATAGGTTTAAGGTGAGAGGGGTAAGATTTAAAAGGGACCTAAGGGGTAACTTTTTCACACGGAGGGTGGTGCATGTATGGAATAAAATGTCAGAGGAAGTGGCGGAGGCTGGTACCATTACAACATTTAAAAGGCATCTGGATGGGTACATGAATAGGAAGGGACTAGAGTATTTTATGATACCTGGTTGGCATGGATGAGTCGGACCGAAGGGTTTGTTTCTGTGCTGTCCATCTCTAAGACTGTAATACCTCTTCATGAATTGATATTTTTCAAAAATTTGATTACATCTCCTTTTAGCCTTCTGTACTCCAGTCAGACAGTTGTGTTACATAACCATATCATTTGCTTTAAAGTTTTTGACTGATTTGGAGCTGATGAATCTCTCTCTCGTTTGTGTTGTGATGTTCACAAGAAACATAAATCTCGTGTTTTGATTACCTGAACTGTCCATGTGATGTTTTTGATTAAAACATTGTGCTGGAGCTACAACAGTGGGTGATATTCTCCCCCCCACAATTTCTATTGAATAAAGTCAACTGGCATCTTTGTTTTGTCTCAGTTATAGAGATAATATCAGAATATCACACCTTGTTAGGGTAATGCAACTACCGGGGTAGTTGGGGAAGCTCGGGTCCCATTATTCCTGGAGCCATCTTAAATGTGAGAATTCAATTAAGTCACCAAATTGTCTACCTCAGGTTAAAGGAATATGCGTACCAGGTTCTTTTAAATCATTAAGAAGAATATTTATTGTAGTCAAACTGTTCTTAACCAACAGCAAGAAAGAAGCATAAATCGCTAACTTATAACTTGAATTCTACCTAAAGTTTCCGTACACTCCCAAACAGTCCCATAAAGAGACAAGACACAAATATTACAGGTGGGAAAGGAAAGAAGTAACATCAGAGAAGCACAGAAATAAAGCAAAGGGCCGCGGTTGTTAGAGATCTAAGACAAAAACAAAAGTTGCTGCAGAAATTCAGGAACATCTGTGGAGAGAAAACAGTGTTAACGTTTCGTGTCCAGGGACTGCTCTGAAGAAATTTTCTCTCCACAGCTGCTGCCAGAGCTGCTGAGTTTCTTCAGCAACTTCTGTTTGTTTCAGGGAAGCACAGTTCTGGCACCAGGCTGAAACACAGTAGTTGATGAGTTGTTCTTTTTGGTTTCCTCTCCTCTGTCCAATTCTTTGTGAGGTTGTGGATACACTGATTCTCAGTCTTTCATCCATGAGTTGGGGACTTGAAGATTTGTTTTCCTCTTTTTCCGGAATTTGTAAAAAGAGTAGTTTACAAGGAAATGGTGAGCAACAACAGCTGTCAGGAGATTTTCTATTATCTCCTCCACAACATCAGGGATAAAGAGATCATGGTGCTTTCTCTTTGTATCCTAGAATCCACTCCGTATTGTCCACATTCAAATCTGTAGCCAGGAACCAGCCTATTTAAACCAATCAAAAGACAGTCTCTGGGCAAAATTGCCCTGAATGCACCCACACGGGGCTGATGCATTTAGTATTCTCCTTCACTGCTTAAACAAGGCAAGATTGTGGATCTAACTCACAATGAGTTCCGTTAAAGTGTTTCTAAAGCAACAACCACTTTCTTCCACAGTTTCCTTGGTTTAAAGCAGTATCTTT